GGGGTGAAGAGGAGAAGAAGCAAGATGAAGGGATACGCTTCAGGATGAAGGGGTAAATAAGTTGAGAGAGTATGGGCTAGAGCGGCAAGAATGGCACAAAGGGGGAAACGATTTCTGAGCCAAAGGTTTTTTAACTAGGAAAAATGTATCTCCGTCCCTCCCCTTTTTTCTATTTCACCCTTTTCTCTGGCTATCATGTTTCTTGTGCCAATCAATATTTTATAGCTGTCGCTCCGGAGCAATGAACCCCCCCAGCTCTCTGAATGACAGATGAGGGAGAGAATGGATCTTGGGGGACATGTGGAAATCAGGAGGGAGGGGTAGGAGGGTGTAAAGCAGAGTGGTGGAAAAACATAAAGTAACAAGAACGAGAAAGGCAGCGCAGCATATGAGAAACAGACTGACATGAAAATTGCTTGATATAATACTGGATAAATAAATAGTGGGAGTACATTTCCCACAGATAATGAAATATTGCTATAAAAATGTCTCTCAGTTTTCATACTGTCAGAGAACTAATTAGAAAACGAAAAGAGAAAATGTCAGCTTCTTGACATCAAAGTGGGGACACTGCCTACTTGTGTTTTCCCCCGTTTGTGTCTTGTTGTTTTACCTAAGCTGCTTTTAGCTCGTAGCCCACAGCACTCTGCTCTTCTCAAAGATAATGACTATAAACACAGTTAGAGAAATGTGCATGTGTGCACAGGCGCATACATGTGCAATTATATGTTGCTTTTTTCGTATATTGTGTTTACGTGTGACTGTAGCCATGACACATTAGCGACGGAAAACCTTCAAGCTCTGTCAAAAATGTGTGTGTACAAATGTTCCCATGAGTCACAGCTCTCTAGGTGAGAAACACACACACACGCGCACACACACACACACACACACACACACACACACACACACACACACACACACACACACACACTGACATTGTACATTTTGTGAACAACCATAACTTTGCTAGTCCTTGCTTTGAATCCTTATCCGAACCAATTATCAGCTGTTTGTGATTGTGAGAACAAACTTTTTATTCCCAGTAGGCCTATTCCTTTCTCATTTATGCTTTAATAGTTCCTGACAACTTCACACAGCAGACTGTAAATGGAAGTTATTTTATATATTATGTTGCGCTTGCAACATGGAAAAAAAACTCCTCAGCAAAACATACTTTACCAATACATGGCCAAAGACAAGTAAAGGCCTGTAAAACCACATCATATTATTATATTATCTGATAGTAAGTCAGCTGTTTCTTCCAATAAAGACATTCCTTGAGCTATCAGCACTAATATTCTAAATACCAGTCTTACAAAGGGATATATTGTTATATTGTATATTGTGTGTGTGCATTAGTATGTGATCCATGTGTGTGTGCTGCATGCTTGTGTGACATACTTAAGTGCCTGTTTAGTAATGACATGCTCTTGTAGCCCGTTTGCATGCTTTCTGTTTGCATGTTTTACTGTGCCTGCACATGTGTGTCTGCGTTTTCATGTGTGTGGAAATGGGCGGCAGTATATCTAGCTCCATAGCAATGATGTACTAGCTCGCTCCCTGCTGTCCCGTCATCCCTCACCTGCTCTCTTTTCTCACCTCTCCCTCCATTGCCCTTAACTCCTTAAACCTTTCAATTTTCTAATAGGTCTACTTAAGTGTGTGTGTGTGTGTACATATGTATATTGTGTGTGTGTGTGTGTGTGTGTGTGTGTGTGTGTGTGTGTGTGTGTGTGTGTGTGTGTGTGTGTGTGTGTGTGTGAGTGTGTGGGGGGGGTGTGTGCATGGACTGAAGGTGCATTTTGTGCAAGTGTGTATATCAGAGGAAAGTAAAGAAAACACCTATTCCGCTTCCTGTCCTTGTAATCCTCTGTGTTTTAGTGACCTTAGCAACCTGGTGACAAAACATTCAAGGTGTACCTTTGATTGAGGCCATGGGTGGGCGTAAAGTTTGAAGCAGGCTGAAAGGATAGTTGAAGATAGAGAGCAGGCTGGAAGAAGAGGACAACGTTTTTCTGCCCAGACCAACATAAAACAAGTACTGGGACAAAAGCCGACCGTGTAGCGTCGCCTAGCATTGCCTGTATCTTGGCCAAAAAGTTCAACTTGAACCCACTGCAAGGACAACAGACAATGGCCAACAACTACATTATATGTTTTGCCTCAACTTGAGAGGAAATAACTCTTCATACTAGCAGTAGGTGGTATTCTGTATTCATCATTCAAAAGGAGAACTGCGAATAGACTACACTGCCCTTTCTTATGATACATACATAGTACTTAGAAAGCCAGCAGTGTCACTCACAATGGTCAGCTTATTGGAAGCTAGTTTACTAACAGGATTCTTACTTTTTGATTGTGTTTCTTTATTGTCGAATGCACTCATTGTGAGTTGCTTTGAATAAAAGTATCCACTGAATTAAATGTAAGCTAATGTGATGTACTGTAAAACAAATTATTGTAACAGAATGATCAGATTAAATGAAAAATAGAAATGAAAAAGTGCGCCCTCATGACTTTAGTTTGTTTTCCTCACGCCTGTTTCCTTCTTTTGCTCTGTTTCAAATTATATTTAAAAGGCCCTTCAGATTGATTTCTCGAACGCACAGGCTCCTGCACTGATTGAACATGCTGAAAGTAAATTGGCCAAAAAAGCTGCTTAGAATGGGAGACTAACAGTACATATTAAAGTGTTCATTGCTGCCCAGCTTGGTGTGTCAGAACCTTTAGTGTTTGCAAAATAAGGTTTTCACGTTCAGAATTACCTTTTTAAAGTCCAGTTACACCAGTTTTTAAAACAGCTAAATTTCATGGCAACACAACATTTAGTTGACAGCGATTAGAAGATCAGGACTCACAAAGTAACCCAATTCAAATACCTACTTTATGTTTATTGTTATTGAATCGGTACCCTCACATTAGCACTGACGTAGAGTAGATTTGTGGAGATGTTTACGTGTAGTTTTGCAGTATAACAAAATCTAAGTCTTGTGGGAAGGGGATGGTTTCTGGAAATAACTTTGATAGCCAGAAGGTTTTCACAAAAGGACACGCCGATCAGCTGCTGTTTGAATTTGCATTTTATGGCTCAGTGGAAGAAAACTTTGCTCCAGGCCACCAGCTTGAGACATGGCAATTATTAGTGATCAGATGAAAACAGCATTGCTTCATACACACTCAGTTTAGGGGGTATTGCTGCTCACTGGTGTGAATCACAGAACAATAATAAATGATTGAAATAATTAAGCATTTCCTCCCTTTAACTATTCTGTCTCGGTTGCACCTCAAACTACAAAAAAAGACCAATTGAGCTTGAAATCTATAAAAAAAACACAGCAGTGACTGTCATAATTCTAACTTTTCTCTTCTCCTCTTCCCCCAGTGAGAGATGATGATGATTTCCTGAGTCTGAGCGAGCTCCCAGAAACCTTCCCCTCCGACCCTCCGGAGCCCTTACCTCACTTCCTGTTTGAACCGGAGGAAGGCTACATCGTCAAAAATAAACCTGTCAATCTCTACTGCAAAGCAACACCCGCCACGCAGATTTACTTCAAATGCAACAGCGAATGGGTCCATCAGAAGGACCACACCGTCGAGGAGCGAGTGGACGAAAACTCAGGTGAGTGCATGGCCTGTACTTTTAAACACGTTCACAGATCTATCAGAGAGAGCAAAGGAACGCTGACAAATCAGCCCATACTGTGAAAAATGGATCGGAAAAGTCATATAATTAAAACTGCCGTGGAGATAGTGTGTTCAGAGACTTTTAAAACCGTTTTTCCTTTGAGTCATGACATATTTGACAGGTAGTACTTTTGGTTAAAAAAAAAAAAGCATCTGACATTGTAGAGACAAGTGCAGTTTCTTGTCATTTTTATTCACAGGGGATCTTTTTTAAGAACACTTTTTTAAACTCAGTACACTCATGAATGCACAGCTGATGTTGGAACTTTGCTGCTTAAAGTCCAACAAAAAATGAGCGAAAAAGATGAACAATATCCATATATTTGAAATGTATACTTATTGCCAACATGGTGCTTACTTGCCAGACTATTTTAACTATATGTGTATACCATATGTCCTAGTGAGCAAAACATCCAAATCATATTTTAACTAATCTAAAGTTCCCTGTTGTATATCAAAATCAAGCATGTTGCCCCTCATGAATCGACTCTTCCTGCCTGACAATGATGAGATTTTGCTCTGTGTTTATAAAATTGTCACACATACAGAAAATATGGCCAACATCTTCCCCAGGTTGTCCCACTGGTGCACTGTAGGCAAACAGGTTAAAGCTATTATTCAGATGTTTAGTTATTTTTACTGAGAGCTGGGTCACATGTCAGACGTTTGTTCACAGCTGCCTGTCTGCCAGTGCAGTGAACTGCGATGTTCACAGGACAGTTTAAAAGGATCCACAGTTGCTTACTGGACTGCGGCCAAAGTTCCACACTTGTCACTTGTCAGCACACGGTTTTATTCTGCTGGAGAGGTAATGATGAATCATGCTGTTGCTTTGGCAGGAAGACAAAGACGTACACAACCGGTTTTCTTAGACTTCAGGTTGACATGAGCTGAGCTTATGGGTCTCCACCTGCCTGTTAATGAGCCTGAGTCCCCAGAGCGAGTGATTAAACACAGGCTGAAAGCAGTTTAAAAGTCCAGATAAATGGCATCTGTTAAAGGAAATACACAGTGGTGTCAATAGTAGCACAAATCAGCATGACAGTGGGTGAATTGCTATGTTTTTTTAACTTGAGAAAGGCCAGCAAAATAGGTAGCACATACTGTATTCTATGCACTCACTGTTAGATATCTGTCAATGTGTATATTGAAGGGCAATTTTAAGGAAGCTGAAGTTTGGACTCAAGTTGACACATCGACTTGCCCACAAAGATTTACCTTTGTATTACAAAGCAGACCCTGGAGCCAAACATTGGATGTGTGTGTGTTTGTGTGTGTGCGTGTGTTTGTGAGTGCTTGTGTGTGTTGTTTTTAGTGGGTCTGACACAGTTCCAAACCTAAGAAGGAGACAGAGGCAACTGAGCAGTACAGTTTGATTTAGCTGTCACACTCCAACAGTCAAGGAAGAGGAGAATACATGCAACACAACCTGAAAGAAGTAAACATGAGAGAGGTGAAACAGATAGAAACACACAGATTTACACACAGTGGCAAATTACTTAATAATGTTAAAGTCTTGTTATTCTTTTGGTTATCATTTTTAACCATAACTTGTTTTGATCGCTTAAGCATTTATTTTGAAAAGCACTTTCCCTTTTTATCTCTCGGTCTAATTCCTACTTTGTCCTGAATATTTAATTATTGTTCTTTCTTGTTTGTTTTTTTCATTTCATTAATTTTTCATTTCATTTGTCATGTATTATTCGTTTAGTCAACTTACTTTGTTCTATATTTATTTTCTTATCTCCTATCCTATTCTGTATCACCTTTAACCTGAGGAGGTTTAGCATTTAAGATAAACTCTCAGAAAAGACAAATCCAATCTGTCTCTTTTAGGTCATTTGTCTCTGAAGATATTTGCATTTATCGTTAATCCTACTTGAAAAAACTGGCATTGACTTAAATCATTGACTACTAGAAAGTTGAAAACTGAATTGTAAAGAACATTTTTCTTTCACAGCCTTCTGGGCCTTCCCATAAGTGAAATGAGATGACATATGTCTATCCCCCATAAGCATCTATGGTTTTCCTTCTGTTCCCTCATTTTTCCCCCCTCCAAACTCTCAATGTTCATTATTGTCATCACACACAGCTGCAAGTCATTTATTAGTATCATATCAGCCGTTGATTTGCAGCTGCTTCATTCCAGGCGGCACATTATTGAGAGGAAATTCTGTTCAATTAACAACCCATGGATTTAGGCTCTAATGTATGAGATGGATACCATGTGGTCTCTCAAGGCTCAAGACACCCTTGATGATTTGTTAGTTACATTGCTGACTGTGTTTCTAACAACATCTAACCCAATGAGTTATTAAAATAAGTCCACTTTTATCATTGAGTGTTCCTGTCTGTTGAAATGACCTTCAGGCCACGTGGAAACATGATTTTGTTATCCATTGTTGTGCTGCTTTAATTTATGCTTCATGTACATTTTACAAAGCCATATTAATGCCACTTTAATAAAAAAATGGCTGCTCTAGGACACTTAATCTCCTCAACACCATCATCCATACATGTGAAAATGAAATGAATACATAGATAAAATGGGGACATTATGTAATATCAAGAGCTGTTGATGTTTGGAGACTGGAGCATTTTCCTGGATAATGGCTTTACGTGATTTTATTTTTAAAATGCATTAATTCCTTTTTTTTTACATATAAAATACAATGAAGAAATGATGATCAGATTATGACAAGGTTATGAATACAGTACTAGATATCATGCAACATACCACATAGTAAGCTGTTATAGGAATATAGCTGGTGAATGCACAGCGACTGGTCTGTTAGAACTCTGTAAGCTGTTTTCTCCTGTTTGTTTCCTGCTGTTTCTCAGACACAGCTAGGAGCTATGGTCCCCTTACTGCTTTTATTATCTCTGTCTTTTCAATCTATCCCATCCTCTCCCTTTCTTTTTCTTCCTTTCTTTTGCACCATGCTGTTTCTTGTTCTACTCTAATTCCTAAAACCTGAGCCTAAAGAAAGCAGGGGAGACCAGTAAGGGATGATGGAGGGATGATGATGGAGGGATGATGAGGGAGGGATGATGATGGAGGGATGATGAGGGAGGGATGATGATGGAGGGATGATGATGGAGGCATGATGATGGAGGGATGCTGAGGGAGGGATGATGAGGGAGGGATGATGATGGAGGGATGATGATGGAGGGATGATGGAGGGATGATGATGGAGGGATGATGATGGAGGGCTGGAAAGGCCAAAAGATATCAGGAAGTCACACGGAGGAGAAAGATGATAGGAGTCCTGCAGGGCACTTTTATTTATCTTTCTTGCGCACTCCAACTCTGACTTTCTAACAATGTTTATCTTTTCTTTTTACTCCAAAAGGTAGCGCAATGTTTGGTTTGAAATACCTTGCATCATGATACATCGTGAGTTGAACAGGATGATTAGATTACATGTTCTTATTATCTTTGTACTGCAGGAAAAAAAAGAACTACACAATAGGTATTAGATCATAGCAAGGAGGAAGAAGGATGTAAATTGCATTGTGATGGGTCCATTTCATTTAGTGTACCTTATCTCCAGGAGTACAAGACACCGTATGGTCGTCTTTGTGTTAACAATATCCAATATACATTTTATTCCCCCTTTCAATTTGTTTTGAATTGCAAATAAAAAGTTACTCCATCTAATGAGTTAGTAAGAACATCTATTTTTCTATATAATGAACGGAAAGTGTGGCTACAGTACATGTGAGCTTCAGACGGCTCAATACATGTCCACATGGAGCCTCAGCTGGAAGGAGGGTAAGCCAGGTGAAGGTCACAGGCAGGTTGAGGGGGGGAGGGCGTATGGTTCCCTGAGTTTCACTGAGGTCTTCCTCTAAATTGGAGGAAGAAGCATTATTCTCTAAACTGCTCCACTGCCTATCTCAGTTTACAAACAGAGCTAACTGCAGTACTTCAAACAAACACAAAAAGCAACCTGCCCTCTTCCACAGAGCAGACAGTAGCTTTATTCGCAGTGTCATTTGCTTAAACATGCTAACCATATCTTCATCTGAATTAATGTGATTTAAGGTGAGAACCAGCATAATTAGTCTAGATTAGATATCTTATTGTGAAGGGCATTTTCAGTATTTGCTTAAGCAACGCTCGTACTGTACAACCTCAGCATATCTCCATTAGCCTTGAGGAGTGCTAATGACATATTGTCATTAGGTTACTTACTTTGTCTCCATTAGCCAAAGTGTGAATGGTTATTAGTCTTGCACTGACCTGTGACACACACACACACACACACACACACACCACACACACACACACACACACACACACACACACACACACACACACACACACACACACACACACACACACACACACACACACACACACACACACACACACACACAGACTATTGAAGACACAAATACACACAACATCAGGGTGCCTGTTTTTTCGCTCACCTGTAAATGTTGAGTTCCCCCTTCATACTCCTTGATTTGAGGTTTTTACTTGTAGTAATAAATTATTGCGCTTGTGTCTGTATTTGCTCGTTCCGTTCATTTCTAAGGGTTCATGTATTTAAAGATCACTTCGTTTCATACACTTTCTCTCTTTGGTATATTAAGTTGTATATTGAAAACCAATTGGCTCCTGCGTACTGTTTAGTCGATGCATCCAGTTATGCCTGGATGCGCGAATTGACGATATCCCGGAACAATACACTCATAATTGAATATTCGATTGGACTAAATTTATACGTATGTAGGAGGAGTAGTGGTATAAGTTCGATCGTAAAAGCGTTTTGAAAATCAAAATTTTTTTCCTAAACATTGTGTTCGAAGGTACATTGCTCGAAATTCCTTGATAACTTGTGTGTGTGTGTGTGTGTGTGTGTGTGTGTGTGTGTGTCGGTGTGTGTGTCGTGTGGTGTGTGGGTGTTGGTGTGTGTGTGTGTGTGT